CGCCCATCCCCCCGTGTCCCCGCGGCGGCGCCGGCCTGCTCCCCTCCTGGGGGACCCTGATCTCGGGAGACCCCTGTCTTCCCCTCCCGGGACCCCGATCGGAGGCGCCCCGCTGTCCTGAGACCCCCCCCACGGGCTCTCAACCCCATTCTCTGGTCCCGGGGTCCGAAACCCCGTTCTCCCGAGACCTCCCCTTCTTTCCTCCCTCTCTCATCGGGGGGGACGCTGCTCCTCATCCTGTCCCTGATCTCGGGGTGTCAGATTCCCCCAACACCCCGTCTTCTCCCTGATTCTGAGATCAGAGAGGAAGACACCCCCCCATTCCCCAAGACTTTGTTCCTTTAACTGTCCCTTGGCTCGGAGACACCCCTTTTCTCCCCGATACCCCCGCGGCCCCGGCCTCCTCCCCGTTCCCGGGCTCGGAGACCCCGCTCGCCCATTGTTCTCAGCGGGGTGCTCGGGCTCGCCGGCCTCCCCCCACTTTTTTTTTTGTCGCCCCGGCTTCCTCCTCCCCGATCCCCTTGTCTGGAGCGGAAATCCAGCCCTGCCCTGTGACACCCCGGGGTGTCTCGAAGGAGTGAGGGGTGGGGGAGGGAAAAGGAGAGGGAGGAGGCCGGGCACCCCCCATCCCCATCCCCCTGCCCTACCCCGCACAGTGTGCTCCCCTCGGGTCTGGGGCCTCGAGCCTCCCCTCCATCAACGGGGATCGGGGATCGGGGTTGGGGAGAAGCAGAGAGAGTCAGACCCACGGGGAGAGAGAGAATCAGAAATCACGAAAAGTTGGAAAGCGAACCCGACCCTAAACAGATGGCCGAATAGAGGCGGGGGCGGAGCCTGCAGCCAGAGACTCTGTGTGTGTGTGTGTGTGTGTGTGTACACACAGAGTGAAAAATGAGTCCGAGGAAGCAGGAGAAAACCCCAGGGGAAGGGGGCTCCCCGAGAGTGAAGACGAGTCTGTCATCTGTGCGGGTTTTCTGTCTCCCCACCCTTTTCTTTCCTCCCCTGGTTTTCGCGAACCCCCCTCCCCATTCTCTGGGTGCCAGGCACCCAGGGCGTAGGCTCTGGGCCTCTTGCCCGGGCCGCACCCACCCCAGGGCCCTTCCCTGCCTTTAAACACCATCTCCCCAGCCACACTGCTGGCCTGAAACCCCCCCCACTCTTGTGCCCAGCCCTTACAGTCTTGTGCCCGCCTGCCCTCCCCCTCCGTGGATCTGCTGACCCCCCACTCCCACAAAGCCAACTCTCCCTAAAAATATGCTTCACTGGCTCCAAATCCCCCCCAAAATGTGCCCCCTAAGCTGTCCTTAGCATCCCAATTCCCCCAGCAGCTCAGATGAACATCGCAATATTACAACAAGCCACAGAGTGCTTCAATGCTCAGGGCTTTTGATCCAGAGAAAACGGGGCTGGGGGCTGTTTCAAACAGGCAAGGGAAAAAAGAAGTTTCCAAAAATCCTTGGTGGTAGAGGAAAAGGAAAAAAAAAATTAAATGAAAGGCACTGTCCTAACAAAGTTTATGCAGAATCGTTCCCTTAGGAGGGAGGAGAAGGGGAGCAGAAATTACTAAGTTGCTTGGAGGGGACAGTAACGGATGTTTTGATGAGACACGAGTTACAGTTAATGTTAGGAAACTAAATGTAGTGTGAATGAGCCGGGGGAGATGGTAATTAGAGAGTGATAACCCGAAATACAATGTGTATGAATGATCTAATGAAAAACCAGTAAGATTTGTAACAACAACCCCCCCCCCCAAAAAAAAGGACCTGGAGCCCAGCCAATCTGGTCCCTTAAACTGTCCCCACAATCTGGTGCGCCACACACGTCCTCCCCCTCCAGCTCTTTGTTCTGCTGCCTCTCAGGGCAGTTGCTCTGATGCCCGGTTTATGGGCCCAGCCACGCCCTCGCCCCCACCTCTAACCCTTTATTCCTGCTGGGAGGCTTTTCTCCCGCTCTCCCAGCCCCTTCCTCTGTGTCTCACCCCAGGTGACACCAGGGCCCCAGCGGGTGCAGAGCCACAGGTGTGCCGAACTGCTTCCTAAGGGACTCACCCTGCCTTGCTGAAGTTCCCACAGATGGCAGCCCCCCCCTTTTCCATTTCCACTGGTTCCTCACCCACAGATTCAAGCCAGTGCAGATCCAAGTATTGGGGAGCAGATTTTTTTATTTTTAAAGAGCAAATTAAGTGGTCAAAGCAATCCCCCAACAGCTAAGAGGGCACATTTAATCGGGTAGGACTAATAGATTTCAGATACATAGGAGGTTGTATGCAAGCAAATACAGGCTGTTTTCTAAGAGGGTTTGAGCATCCGAGCATATTTTGGCATCTGGGGTCCCCCAAGTCGTCCCCTGTGGATGCTCAGAGCTGGCTGTGTACCTCACTGGTGCTCGCTCCCCCGAGAATTCTCAGGTGGTTGGAGTGGGGCCGTCCTGAGGGCTGCTGTTTGCTCCCCCTCCCCAGGTAATTCTACTCTGCATCCGGGATCTCCATTTCTGAGGGCTGGGACCAGTCTGCTGTCCTGGGAGAGGTGAGGATTTCTGCTGTGAAGAGGGGGGCATTGGGGGATGGTGTCAGGGCTGATGTGTGACCAGATTGGGGGGGGCAGTGTAGCCCAGATCCCCCTGCTGCAGCCAGAATGTGGCCTTCACTGGGGGAAGGGCGATGAGCCCAGCTCGGCCATTCGTCTCTGTGTGGGAGGTTATTTATTGTCCCTGCTGCCTCCCGGGGCACTCACTTCTCCTTGGTGAGGTCCTCCTGAGCCTCCTCACAGCCCAGGAAGCGGGCTTGTTGATGCTAAACATCTAACGGCACGCTTTTCACACCCAGGAACGCCTTCTCAGGAACCATCTTGCCTGGATCACCCCTAAAACCAAGCCAAACAAACAAACAAAAAAAGGCTGCCCTTGCCTGAGAGAGTCCCCGAGGAGAAGGAAGGAAAGGCACCCGGAATGGCAGTGTATCAGGTAAGGGCCGCATTTTCAGTGGCTCTCGCTCTGCCTTCTTCCTGCAATGCTGTCCTGAGAATGCACGCATTTCCTCTCACTGATGCCTCCCTGACTCATGCACCCCACAGCCTTGCCTCTGTCCCCTCAAATCCGCAGAGTCCAGCTCATCGTGACTCAGGGCTTCGGGCTGGGGAAGCATCTGGGCAGGGCTCCCCACCAGGCCTGGTGGAGCTGGGGCGGGGGCCGAGAGTGGGCTCGCACAGACCCACGTCCGGATGCCCTGTCACCTCTCTGCAGGTCTGCCTGAAAGAAACTGCAGGCATCTGTGCTGCGCTGATGGTCCTGACAGCTAGAACATGCTAGGAATGGAGGCTGATTAAGGAAGTCCTGCTAAGCCTGGTGTTGATAACACATTCAGGCCTTGTTTTTAATACAAAAATCTAAAACCATTTGAAGCTGAGTGGAGAGTTCAAAAGTGTGCGTTAGTGACAGGAGAGATTTTCTTTCATAATTAGTTTGAGAGTGTAGACTCAAACTAAAAATCTCATTCTGAATTGCCAAAGAATTAATCGTAAGAAAATAACGTGTTAATGTGCACGGATCTGGAGTCTAAGCCTCTGGGACCCAGTTAGTTCACCTCCTAGCAGCCCTGGAGAGCAGAGCAGAAATGCCCATAGGTCTCAAGGCTGTAAAGCTTGTGTTTGTTTTGTTTTTTCTTTATAACAATCTTTTTTTTTTTTTTTTTTTAAATTTAGAAAAAGCATCCCTAAAACCAGAAAGTTCCTCCCAGGAACACAGTTTGAATCCACCAGGTGCTCTGCTGGAGAAGGAGGGGCAATCTCCTCCTGTACCAGTCAGATCAGATTTGATGGTACACACACAAAAAATAATAATACAATAATAAAAAATAATAATGACAGGAGCAGAAGCCTTCATCTTTCTAACGGATTAGGAGCTGGTGGGTTGGAACTGACAGCTTTTTGATTGCCTGTCACCTGAACGTTTTGATGACCGTGCCACCAGGACTTCCTGTGCACACAGATTATGATTTTTAAAATTTATTTATTTTTTTTAATCCAGGCCTCTCTGTAGACCTTGAACTTCTGAAAACTTCAAAAAAATTTTAATCTTTATTTTCTATTTGAGGGAAAAGTGTGCGTGCTAGTTTTTCATTCGATCGTTCTTGTATATTGTTTTCTAACGTTGTAATTACGGTTTCATTTGCCCATTCACGTCCGATCAATTCTCCGTCCCCCTAGATTTTATAATCCATTATCATATAACTGTCATACTGCCTACAGGATTAGCTGCTTAAGAAAGCAAAATAGAGTCTGTATATCATTCTACAGGTTAAAAATATTCTTTTAACATTTTTTCACTATTTTTATTTGAGTGAAGGTTGTAAATCATGGTCTGTTTTCATACAGTCATACACATTTTGTTTTGTAACATTAATTGCCATTGATTTAGTCATCAGAAGGCCTTTTTTGCGGGGAGCTCTGGTGGCCTCGTGGCAGGAAGCTGCACTGAAATCCCAAAGGTGCGCAGTTCAAATCCACCAGATGCTCCGCTGGAGAAGGAGGGGGCAGTCTCCTGTGCCAGTCAGATCTGACTCAGTGGTACACGACAAGGGGGGGGGAAGGCATTGTTGCTGTTGATTGGAGTTGGGACTTCTCGCTGACCATCCTGTCCGTTTCAGAAGCTGTAAATCTCATGGGAGGAGATTGTGCATCTTTGAGGCGGCTGCTGGTGGGTTTGAACCACTAGAGAGGCACCACCTCCAGCAGCTTCTATGTGTATAAACCGAACAGCCCTCTCCTTAGCCATTTGTAATAGTCTAAAACCCTGTTTGTCCTTTTTTAAAAAAAATGGATAAATTTTATTAACAATTTAGGAACTATTAATCCTGT